TCGCGGCGAGCCGGGTATATACGGCGAGACGTTTCTCTCGATAAGCTAACGAGTCGCGTAAACCGTATCGATGCCACGAATCCAGTAAAACCGTTCGTTCCCCTTCGACGAGCAACGAAACGCTGCCACGAGTTCTGATATTCGTTCGCGGAAGCGTTTTTCCCTCTCAACGCGATAAGTATCGATGTAAAAATACGCATGCTTATCGCAGGCAGATAAGAAACGTGTAACGCGGCAAACAAGTTGCAGCGTGACGGACGATTGCATAAACAAAGACAAAGCGGTTGCACGGAACCTGTTTACTAGCAACGAGAGATCCCGCGATATTACCGATAACGCGTTATCGTACGGAGCGGTATCGTTTGTACGAAAAAAGGAAGATTCGTCGGTGCTGACGCAACGACGCGTTACGCCAGTGCTTTCGTTAAACCGGCGACTCGCGTAATAAAAATAAACGTACGACTGGAATATAAGCTGTCGGAGGAAAGGAGACAACGAATCGGTTAAACGTTAAGACGAAAGATAAACGAAATTACGAGAGTAAAATCGAGAGACGCTCGACGCAACGTCGTTACGTTTCGAGTCTCTTACGCTCTCGGTATGTACTTTACGGCGCGCTTTCGCGTTTTCTACGAAACAACGACTCAGCGGCTCGGATTGCCAGCACACAGGCTCGTTTCCGCGAAAGAACACGAAGAATACGAGAAGCGATGGTCCTCGAACGGTTGGCATAGGCAAATCCAGTGATACGGACTGTAAACGTCTGCCGGTAGTTTTATTCGACGATCGATACTCGATACTGGCTTGTCTACCGTACAGCGATTCAATCTCGAGAACAACTCGACGCCTTCCGGACTTAAGAAAGAGATCTATAGGTCGGATAAGCATCCGAACCGAGATCAAGCGGGTTATTCCACGTGGAATAAAGTTCCACGTGAAAGGAAAAACACGACCCGGAATGTTCGAATCCTGGACACCAAGCTTCCTGGTCATTTTCTAAGATGGTATTCCGACCCAAAAGAACGGGCACAAAGGGAATCCGTTCTGATTTTATCTTCCTGCAACTATCGAACCGTGAGTTGCTGCCCCCGCGACAATGGCGTCGAGTCGTAGTTAGTCGCACGCGACCTCACCGAACCGAACCTAACAACCAGCCTGGAACCGCACAGCGGGGTGCTTTTGTTTAACCGAGGCGTTTATTAATCAATTGTATATCCCCCGGTCGAAAGCATTGCGCATTTGACGGTCAAATGCTTTTTTTCTGCCTCCCAACGGAGGCAGCCCACTCGGGTCGCATCCTTTGATCTGTTTAGGGGGAACGTCTTGTAACGAGCAGCTCGGAAATTTGAAGAGACGCAATATCTACGTACAATGTAATTTGCTGTACACGGCCAATGAAACGAGACACGGCACTCTAGCACTGTGCTTCCAATTACACCGAACTCGACGATATTACCCGTTGCACGTACTTGACGAATCGGACGAGTTTCTGCGAGAAGATCTCCAACACGATGCTGGCTATTCTCCTATTACCTGGTTAGCCGGTTGCCTCTGTCACCTAAAATTTCATTGCAAGCGCTTTTGTGTAAAACGATAAACGTACAATACGTTGCTTTATAAAAAGTATTTGATACGCTCTCGGATATTATAGCGTTTCAATTAGAACATCTCTAAAGTGTAGCGTAAATTGAATGCATTTTATCGTTGTTATTTTCTACTTGTTTCAGTATAAATCTACTATTTCAATTGCAACGAGTATGTGTGTGTGTGTGTGTATATCGGATCATCTAGTAATTAGCGCAGTTTTTCTAAGAATTTAAAACAACGGGAGTTGTTACTATCGGAGCTTTAAAGCACTCGAATGAAAAATTTAATAGGAAAGCATACTGAATTATAAAGAGTTCAGGAAAATCCATCTCTGATCGTCTCTTATCCGGTATTTTCATCTAAACATACGAAAACCAACGACTGCGCTATATTATAAGACAACCCGCTACGTTATAATCGTTAAAGTAGCAAACGAAGTTAAACTTTGTTAATAGAATAGATGTTCTAATACATATCGATGTAGCGATGGATGGTCTTATCGACAGCGACATGTATCAAACTAGTATAACGAAACACGAATAGTTAGCACACTTCGGGATGCTGCGATTTACGTTAACGAAATTACTCTATGTTATTTTACAAATTTTCGCTTCTAGCGAACGCATAAATAATTAACAAACGAGGTGGCCGCGTAAACGAAACTAACGCGTCAATTATGAATACAGACGCGATATCAAAGGAATCCTCGAGCGTAAATTATTCTGTACGATAACTCATGGTCGCACGATACGAATATACGCAATATCATGGTGAACGAAATAACTGTACGCAGTCGGGAAATTATCATCGACGCATAAAAGTTAACGCGCGGTTTGAAACGACGTAATCGGCGTTAATTAAAGCGATCCAACGGCGGTGAATGTTTTTGAAAGCGCTTAATACGAGAAGACGACATCGCGTCGCGTCGTTTCGAAAGCAAATCTCGAGATTTCCGTTGTACTACGCGGGAACAATTCGAAGCATTAAGTCCTCTTAAATCGTAGAAAATGGCGTGAGTTTCGGATAATTCCAAGGTAGGGCCAATTTCAAGCAAAATCGTCGCGTCTGTCCGCGTAATTAAACTTCTTCCCTTCGGTGCTCGACTCTGCCGACAATAAATCCATTTCATCGACGAAGGTGAATTGCTTTTTCATTCGTTCCATCTTAACGAACGTTTATCCCTATTGATTTCGGGTCATAAAATTGATAAGCCAGGCGATTCCTTTTTATTGATTTTTCCTTTTTTTCTTTTTTTTTTTTTTGCTTTTTTTTTCGTAAACGCGTGTCCATAATTTATTATCAATTGTATACTCCATACAGTGACCTGCACAAGTAGTGACACGCACGATTAACACACACGCATTCTCATCCATACGTTCGTTTAACAAAGAAAATACACATACGCCCACGCTCTGTATACACATACAGAGAATACACGTATATCACATGTACGCGTATGTAGCATACATACATATTTTTCTTTTTACATATATAATTGTATTTGTGTCGACATCGCTCGTATATAACTATCGTTAAGGAGGAATACTCGTTCTTTATTTTTTGTTCAAAATATATATATACTTTTTTTTCTTTTTTTTTCGTCGCTATCTAAGGACAAGAACGGCGGAAACGATCGTACTTCATCTTAAACCTATAACTCTCTTATTACGTGTAGTTCATTGTTTCCTGTGTGCCATTATACGGTACTTCTTTTTTTCTTTTTTTCCATTAAAAAAATTAATAATAAGTAGCTATGCTGACGTGCGGTATTTGAATGTAGTGACTAGCAAACACTGGGAGGAAACGAGAACGAAGTCAGGGACTTTTCCAAATTTTCCTCCGTTCGTTTGTATAACAGTAATTTAATTAAACGATATCGTTGCTTGTTTCCTTCCGTAAAGAACATTCGCCTGTGTTTCTCTTTTCGATGCAGCTCCCAATTTTTCCAACGATGAAAATTCGAAATTCTCGCCTTTTCCATTGACAGACGTAAGAAAAACGTCGTTCCAACTGACTTCGATGGCTCGCACAACCACAGCATTCGCTACGTCTTGCGATTTCTCCACCTCAGTATCACAATGATTCAACGTATTGACTATTTCATAATTAATCCTCTTGACTCTTCCCTTTTTAAATGACCTAAAAGTTTGCACGCTAACGTCACGAGCTTTGCGTTTACAGATTTCCCTTGTTCAACGTTGCACGATATTCGCTGCATGTTATAATTCAATTTGATATACGACATCGTGCTTGTTTTTAATTGTCGTACACGTTGCATACGAAACAATAGGAGAGTTTCTATTTTCATCTGCTCAATCACGATCCTCTTTCATGGACGGCGATAAAAAACGTAGCGCTTTTCAGATTATTACAACATGCGAGGAACGCTAAATCCTGAGTCTAAAAAATGTTCACAATATGCACGTATTTATACAGTTTTTTTTTCCCTCGTTTCGTTTGTTTCCTTTTTCAGCTTCGAAATAACAACGACAATCGCTGTTTGAATCTTTCGATATAGAGTCTGATTCTTAATGTATAAATCTTTTTATTCGCGTAATCTAATATAATCCATTGATAGAAACAGCGTTTACGAAACGAAATAATAATTTTATATCAGCTAAAAACCAGCGAGGCATCGAACCATCGCGTTCGATTAATTTTAATTGGATCTACACGATGTTCCTCTGTAATGACTGTTTTGTGACGTAGAAATTTCCAATCGATCGACCGAGATGGATGGTCCACGTTTATTCGCGATGTAACTACTAAATCTACTACCAAATGAACGGGCTTTAAACGAAGCGGTGATTCGTTTCACCTTGTGGGAGAAATGCACATGTATAACCCGTATTATATCACGCGAACAATACGTACGCGTGCAATAAAGAAATCAATTCGGTTGCCCACACGTTCGATGAATTTCGTGAATGCATAATAGTAACGTACGATCGCTTACAATTTGCAAATTTTATGCAAAACGATACGATTCGCGGTTATATTTCATACCGAAACTGTAACGGAATCATAAGTTTAGAGTGTCGTATAAACGTTTCGGTAAAATTTGTACAATCGTTTACTCGTGCAGTGCAGTTTTTAACTACGCATTGAGCTTTCTCCGAATCTAAGAGAATAGATTAGCTAAAATAACGCTCTTAATTTATGAACCTCTCATTGGCAAACGAAAGTATCGATAGAGCAAAATACATACGTTGTTTCTCAGTTCTTTTTAATTTTCTCTAATACTTCGTTGCACTTTGAAGAACGACGCCTATGTAAAATTTTCTTTAACGAAGAATACTATCAGACCTATTCTGATCCGACGTTCGACTGGTCACAAAATACAACAACCATCTCTTTTGTATCGTTAGAGAATGTCGAAGTGGATTTTCTACATTACGGCAACTACCCCACATTCCTTCGTTAACCTTCATCGTTTATAATACAAATTATTCTTATCTCAAGGCAAATATGTTTCACTGTTAGAATTAATCGGTGACGCCAAGATATTTGTGCACATCTTGTGCGTACGTATCGTAATATATTACTGCTGAGTTTCACATCGTTCCTACGTATAGGAGAAGCACTTTGTGCGTACACCAAAATATAATACTGGAATCGAATTTCGAGAAGTAAAACGAATATTACATTTTCAAGGGTTGTGTCGCAATCATAAAGACAATCGAAACAGAGTACTTCGTTGAAGTTTCTTAAAGAACGTCTAAAGCAATTAAACCGCTTTTTCGTTTTGTGTTTCCACAGCGCCATGTACACTACAAACAACGCGTACTTATCTTTAATATATAGCGAAGAATTAAATATTCATTGTGCTACGAATATATTTTATTTTGCGAACCGTGAACTGAACCTTTCAACGAACAAAAAAAAAAAAAAAAAATGAATTACATTGCAAATGAATACTTAGTGTTATCGTACACCAACGGAAGATAATCAAACGAGAAAGTTTCATTCACGTTGTAACGTCCTCGTTGATAATCTTATCATTAACGAATACCGTACGAGTACCGTATCGAGTACGTAGAAGATGTAAGACGAATATTATGCACGATATAGACTGCAACGTTCGAGTCTGTATAAGCACGAAAAATAATTCACTGTTTGGTATTTGCATTCACATGTAACATTAAATTTCACTTACACACGCAATTGGAGCGCTTCTTAAATGTACGCATTCCTTTTTCACATTTAAATACTAAAGTAGGCCATGGCATTATTTTCTTAAATATATGTAAGAAGGTCTGACATAGTCAAAGTTCGCGTATTGCACTTGATAGAGTGACGAACGTTCGAAACTAAATTAATCGATAGAAAAAAAGAAATTCTCGCGACATTAGACAAGTTTTGCTTGCATTACAAAAGCAATATGTATATTGCTCATTGTGTATCTTTCTTTTTAATAATACACTATGTTTCTCAACTTCAATTAGCTAAACACAATACTTTGCGTTGTATATATTTACTTGAATACTTAAACACGATAAATATTTTATATCAGACCTCTATAAATATCAAAGCCAATAATCTAATAGCGAAGGCAATACTGCCTTACGTTGAATATTTCATTCTTGATTCAGAATATTTATTAGATATTCATTAGGTTCCAAATACCTAATGGTATATTTACCGAAAAAAGAAAAACTTATTGTTAAAGAATTCATTTTTCCGAATATTATTTACATCGCTACAAAAAGACAATGACTGAAAATATACTAAAAATCTGTACGTGAATTCAATGAAACAAATATAATAGGAAAGACTCGAGCAAACAATAAACTGTCAAGAAATACATACATCGTCATACACGTAAATAAAAGGTCATTCAACCTAAATAAATAAATAAACATGCTTGAAGCTATAATTTCTTTTACCGCTGTCTAAAATAGGAGCTGAATCAATATATGAAACTATCATAGTCATTTCATGACATGATCTTATTACGTGAAGAAGTAAAAAGATTTCTATAGAATTATGCATTGTGCAATAAAAAACGCTCAATTCCATAGAGTTTTGTCAATGGTAAAAAATTGATGTATACACGCGTACTGAGACGTGGTCTCATATTATCATAATGATGAACAGTCGATAACTCCGACAAATTTTTTCGGCCTTTTAAGTCTTAAACTGATACTGAATTGATTTTTTAAAAAATCTAATTACGTCTCCGAGACATATAGTATCGTTATTTTTTCTTTTTCGATCGATGCATCTCTTATCCTTACTATTCTGTACACTTATGTTACAAAGGTGGGATCGATGCTTATTAATACTATGAACTCATACGTGAATCGGCGAAAAAAGAAAAATGTACGAATCACATGTACCTATATACGATGGAGGACAGAAGACCCATTTTTTCGTCCTTTTTTTTTGTTTTTTGGCAGGTGCGTTTCACTTTTTATGACAAAAAGTGACCCTTTAAAAAGGTAATTCGTAATCATTACGCAGCCCCAATACTCACTCAATATTTTTAGGGCTCTATAAAAGATTACATTTTCCTGAACGTCTTCGTTTCCTCCGATTCTTTTCCAACTCAGCTGGAGGTTGATTTCTGATGATACGAACAACCTAGAAGAAAATTATTCAAATCCCTTAGCTACTTTCACCCATGTGCAACTACATATACGATAATCTTCCTGCTCCTTCTTTTATCTATTTTTATGGTCCCCTACCTCATGGAATGCTGCATCTACATTTAATGGTGGGTCTTTGGCAGAAGTTTCGATATAAGGTATATTCAAGCGGTGAGCCAACTCCCTTCCCTGTTCCTCTGTAACTTTTCTCAAATGTACCAAATCGACCTTATTGGCTACCAGTAGCATAGGGTATACGTCTCTGTCCTTTACCCTAAGTATTTGGGTATAAAAATTCATGATATTCTCATAAGATTGTTTATCAGTCACAGAGTATACTAATAAAAACCCATCACCCTTGCGCATGTATTGTTCTCGCATGGCACTGAATTCTTCTTGACCAGCTGTATCTAACACTGTTAGGTACAAATAAACTTTTGTACACACAAGAGTGCATTGTAGGCCTAATGCGATACACTAAGCATAACACAAAAATAGCAGATAGCAGAATTAAATGCGACAAAGCAACTAAATTCGACTCACCATCTAGGATGCACCATTGTTTGTCTACCTCTGTATGTTGAATGTAGCTATCCTCGATGGTAGGATCATAGTCAGTGACAAATAATTTTTGAAAGAATTGTATGGTGAGTGCACTCTTTCCAACACCTCCATCACCAACCACGACCAATTTGAAGGTCATAAGGTTGTCATTATTAGGGGGTCGTGTCATACCGCCTCTTGTTCTCCCGCCCCCTCCCCCGCTGCCCTGCCTTCTTCTGCCTATCCTGTCAACTCTTCTAATGTATTCTTAGCAGCGCGTCTGCTCGTGAATTGTCAAGTCTCACTCTCCGACTAGAGTACCCTGAAACGGTTAACTTACATCGAACCGACGAAATTCACAACGTGTTGCTTCTTAATATTCAACAGCTTTTGTTGTAATAGTTTTGTTTACATGAACACGAGAACTAAGAAAGCTATCCTAGAGAGGTCGCGATGTAACGGGTGTGTCAATTATACTTAATAGGACAAAATTAGATGAGAAGTTCCCAGGGTTTGATTAGGAGTTTACAGATTGTACTGTGACAGTTGAATTGTCGCAATGTAGTCTATATTTGAATGAAATAAGTACACACCTTACATGATCTGCCACTCCTGTTTCACGTTCTCCCAGCTGTCAATCTGCGTTACTGTGCGCAACATTCGTTTCAATGTGGAAAGTATGTTTGTGTAAGCTTTAACGTAGTAGCGTATACAATAGGTCTTGTATACTTTTATGACCATGCGCGGAAATATAACTACTCTAGCGGCATATTTTGCAATTATCACACCTATTACAATGGTGCCAACAATCTTTGACCCAAAATAATACAGAAATGGAAATGTAACTTTCAATTAAAACCTGCTCTTATTTGTAAATGTGAAATCCTTAAGACTTCGCTTAGTCGATTTGAGAATATTCATTTAATATGTCGCAGGATATTGAATATACACTTTAAAAAGAGTGAAAGGTCCATTTTATTATATTGGCAAGCCACTTTACACTCCCTCGTAGTCTACTTCGTTCTACTTCGTACAAATTTATATGAAATGTGTATATACGATAATACACGAATAATACATGTGCAATTTATACGAAACAATTAGTGAACTTTTATATTGGTACCGTTGATCTAATAATTGAAGATCGCTAAAACACCCATATGTATTTCATTTCATAACGTTACTTATATGATGTACTTTTATCAAATATAACCAGTCATAACGTTGGTTAGCCATTTCCGTGCTCCTAGTCAAATAATATTAATTTTGGTAAGCATACCGTATTAGTACTTACTGTTTGTAAATATTAAGGCAAATTTAACAGAATTTATTAATGATTATTATAGTTTTTAACATCATTACAGTCTATCATTTGTTGGCATTGATTTTAAGGTTATGTTCGAATTAACCGCCTGTAAACAATCATGATTAACGTAATTTCAACGAAAAATATGGCAAAAAATAAATCTTATGCCATATAAAAATGATCAATGATATTTAAAATATGTAATTTTTATATTTGCAGTTATTATTTAAATAAAAAAGAAAATAAACATGGATGCAGATCTATACGATGAATTTGGCAATTATATTGGTCCCGATTTGGCTTCTGATAGCGAAGATGAAAATGAATATGGAAATGCTGGAGACGATGCAGAAGACAGAGAACGCTCCGATGAGGAAATGGAAGAAGACAGAGATGAAGTTAGAGAGCAATCGGAGCAAGGAAATTCCATGGCAGTTGTATTGCACGAAGATAAAAGATATTATCCAAGTGCTTTAGAAGTTTATGGGCCAGAGGTAAATTGAACAATTAATTGACAATTAATATATATTTAATTAAAATACGTTATAGGTAGAGACATTGGTACAAGAAGAAGATGCACAACCATTAGATAAACCACTGATAGCACCAACACGAAAACCAAAGTTTCAAATAAAACAACAGCAACTACCAGAGACAACGTATAGCATAGAATTTTTAGCAGATATGATGGATGCGCCTCACCTTATACGTAATGTTGTTCTACTTGGTCATCTACATCACGGCAAAACTACTTTAGTCGATTGTCTAGTGAGACAGACCCACCCCTATCTTCACAGCGTAACAGACGAAAAACCTTTAAGGTATTCATAAATACTCCTAATAACCGCCGTTCAAAGTTAAACAAAAAAGTACATAATATTTACGTTCTTAGGTATACCGACACATTATTCACCGAGCAACAGCGAGGGGTATCAACGAAAGCAACACCCGTGACGTTGTTACTGCAAGACGTAAAATCAAAGTCCTACCTTTTGAATATATTCGATACTCCGGGTCACGTAAATTTTTCTGACGAGGCGACAGCGGCGATACGTTTATCCGATGGAGCGGTGCTGATCGTCGACGCCGCCGAAGGCGTCATGTTGAACACAGAACGTTTACTAAAACACGCGCTTCAGGAAAAACTTGCGTTAACAGTTTGTATAAATAAGATAGACCGACTGATCCTCGAATTAAAATTGCCCCCCTTAGACGCGTACTATAAATTAAGACATATCATCGAAGAAATTAATGGACTGATAGCGCTATATTCGGATTCTGAAAATCCATCTTTCGTGTCACCTGCTATCGGAAACGTGTGCTTTGCGAGCTCGGAGTACAACGTCTGTTTCACCCTGAAATCTTTCGCGGCGCTTTACGCTAAGATCCATCCCTCGCTTAACGCCAATGAATTTTCGAAACGACTATGGGGAGATATATACTTTAATTCGAAAACACGGAAATTTACGAAAAAACCGCCACACAATACCGCACAGCGCAGCTTTATCGAATTCATTCTCGAGCCATTGTACAAGATCTTCGCGCAAGTTGTCGGTGATGTTGACACAACTTTACCCGATGGTTAGTCAATATTTCTAAATTAAACTAGTGGATTTCGTTCAACGTGAAATAATATTGCAACTTAATTCCACAGTGCTGGACGAATTAGGCATAAGACTAACATCAGAAGAAATGAAAATGAATATTAGACCTCTGTTGAGATTGGTATGCACGCGTTTCTTGGGAGACATGTGCGGATTAGTCGATATGTGTGTAGCCCACGTTCCTAGTCCTCAGTCACACGCACCAGTCAAAGTTCAACACGTGTACACAGGTTCTATGGATTCGTCTCTCGCGCAGGATATGATCAATTGCGATCCTGACGTTAGTACTTGCGAAATATTTACACTACGAGTATTTCGTGTCCTACCACATAGATTTTAACACGGAAACGATATTTACAGGGCAGGCTAATGATTCACAGTACAAAAATGTATCCTACCGAGGACTGTACTCTATTCGTGGTCCTCGGAAGGGTAATGTCAGGTACACTCGAGGCAGGACAACGTGTCCGCGTATTAGGTGAAGCATACTCGCGTACCGACGAAGAAGATTCTCGCGTTCTAACCGTGGGAAGGTTATGGATCAGCGAGGCACGCTACTCGATCGAGCTGAACAGAGTTCCCGCGGGCAACTGGGTACTTATCGAAGGTATAGACAGGCCGATCGTAAAAACGAGCACCATTACCGATCTCAGTAATTCAGACGACTTACATATCTTCCGACCATTGAAGTTCAATACTCAGAGCGTGATCAAAATCGCGGTCGAACCTGTCAATCCATCAGAGTTACCAAAGATGTTAGACGGCCTGAGGAAAGTGAATAAAAGTTACCCATTGCTGGGCACGCGAGTCGAGGAAAGCGGCGAACACGTGGTCCTAGGTACCGGTGAACTGTACTTGGACTGCGCGATGCACGACCTGCGTCGTATGTATTCGGAAATCGATATAAAAGTAGCAGACCCGGTCGTTGCTTTCGCGGAGACGGTAGTAGAAACGAGTTCTCTCAAGTGTTTCGCCGAGACACCCAATAAACGGAACAAGTTGACGATGATCGCCGAACCACTCGAGAGAGGCCTGGCTGAAGACATCGAGGCAGAACATGTTAAAATCACGTGGAACAAGTAAGTAAAAAAATTCCGTAGATCGTGGATTTTTACGCATTTATAGAAAGTTAACAAATGCAAAAATACACGGAATGCGCATAGTGCGCAAAAACGTATAAAATATCCTTAAAACGTATTTAGCGGGTGAAATTAAATTTTCGTTTAGGTTCTGTTTCTTTAGTTGTGCTTATAAAAGTATAAATTCACACAAATATCCGCAGCCTATTTGTCGATATAGAAAATAGAATAGTACGTTAATGCAGGCTTCATAGATATATAGGTTCATCAGAGAGGGTCGATCGACCCTGATAGGGAGTAGAAACACGGTTCGTACACGCAAGTCTGGGTTCTTCGGTATCGAGCCACGAAAGTTCCAAAAATCTCAAAACAAAATGTACTCGTCTTTGCAGAAAACGTCTAGGAGAATTTTTCCAGACGAAGTACGACTGGGATTTATTGGCGGCGCGAAGCATATGGGCGTTTGGTCCAGACGCCACGGGTCCTAATATTCTGGTCGACGACACTTTGCCATCAGAAGTAGACAAGACGCTATTGAACAGCGCCCGTGACGCCATCATTCAGGGTTTCCAGTGGGGTACGCGAGAAGGTCCTCTCTGCGAAGAACCGATTAGAAACGTAAAGTTCAAAATCCTGGACGCCGTGATTGCTCAAGAACCTCTTCATCGAGGAGGTATGTATTGTATTGCGTATTTGTTATCTCGGGGACTGCGTTCGAAACGGCACTGGAGTAAGAAGAGTACTGCAGTTTCGTTTTTTATTTCTCAATATTTTGTTTCTCGAGGTACGTTGAAATATTTGAAATCGAGCATGATTCTTACCTTTTAAGCAAAGTTTGAAAGCGCTCAGAATGCATATACCGTATTACTATTGTTAATTAATTATTATTAATCAGTCAATAATATTTTTTTCCGACACCGCTTGATTCCGTGAAGCGACGAAAAATAATTTCCACCCTTTTTTTATTGCGAACAACATTAATTTGTTTCGTTTTACAGGTGGTCAGATAATTCCGACGGCCAGAAGGGTAGCCTATTCTGCCTTCCTTATGGCAACGCCCAGATTGATGGAACCCTACTTGTTCGTCGAAGTTCAAGCGCCTGCGGATTGCGTGTCAGCAGTTTATACCGTACTGGCTAAAAGAAGGGGCCACGTGACTCAAGACGCTCCTGTTCCCGGAAGTCCCTTGTATACCATCAAAGCATTCATTCCGGCAATCGATAGTTTCGGATTCGAGACTGACCTGCGAACCCATACGCAAGGTCAGGCGTTCTGCCTGTCCGTATTCCATCATTGGCAGATCGTACCTGGCGATCCATTAGATAAAAGCATCACTATTCGACCACTGGAGCCACAGCCAGCTACGCACTTAGCTAGAGAGTTTATGTTGAAGACAAGGAGGCGAAAGGGACTTTCGGAAGACGTGTCTATCAACAAATTCTTCGACGATCCTATGTTACTGGAATTAGCCCGACAGGACGTTCTATTGAATTACCCGTTATAAAATATAACCGTAAAGCAATTTCCTGTATAATTTTACTACGACAAGTTTTCATTAAAGAATTAATTTTATACGAAAACCGCGTGTCTATCGATTTGTCACTTTCACCTGATTCCATTTCCATATCCCAATGCTCTATTGGCAAAAACGTAAAACTTCCTTAAAAAAACGACTCAAAATTCTTAAATTGCTGTAAACTCGTGAAAAATTAGACGCGTTTCCTGTATCATAACGCCGTTACGAAGTACGAACTGTTTGCAATATAAAATAAAGAACGTCCGATCTAACTATACGACTATAAATAAGAGTATACTGTTAAAATATGTATATAGAACACATTCGAGGCCGCATTCGAAAGTAGATCGCAACATATGGACAAAGCTTTACTGTCCACCTACTTTCTTCAGAAATAGATCCACCGAACATCAAACTACGACTCCTTTTAACGTCTAAAACAAAATCCAACTCGTTTATCCAATTTTGGGAATATTCTTTCAATATCCGATACGTTTACCCATCTGCTATTAAAACACTCAAATGTACTATTGGTATCGACGTTCGATAAACGATTCGATTCTACTCATAGATATAGACAGAGTATCGTAATTAACAAATGCAAAACGAAGATTACAACGGAAAATTTTGAATCCCTTAACCTACAACGTCGAGTTAGACTCGCGGCTCACTGACTTCGACCCAAACACGAAGAACACGAAGAACAGCGAAAAAGGTGGTACGTCCTTCGGGCCAAACATAAACAACACGAGCATAAAACGTACGTTCTTCGGGCTACACGCAACAAACATTTTTTTCTCTTGACCGCATTCGGAACTTAAATTGTAGGGCAGGAGGTTAAATATCATATAGATAGGTGTAGCTAGCTGATCCGTCGTGACAGCATTCGATACGTAGTTTAGTCTTTAGACACGCTATTCACGTGACTTTCCGAGTAATCAGTGATTTTCCAGTGAAAATTATCGTATTAACCTTCGGAATACGAATCGCGAATTACGTACGTAAGAAAGTAGAACAGTAGGTCCAGTTTGAACCCACATGTTCAGTATGTACATTCAAATTTGTACAATTTTCTCTCACAAATATCTTCGTTACACGGACAAAGAAGAACAAAGTATATATCGCCGCTTGCCATTGATTACGGTGTAAGTGCAAAACTGTCGATTTTAGAGGAGACGCTGTCTTGAAAGAAACACAGGCCACAAAGAAATCGTCGTGAGTCATTGGAACAACATCATGGGACCGATCGTAGGTAAGATATGTCACTATAATAACTAATGAAAATAATAACTGAGAATGAGTCAGTGTTGCTGCAAATCTTGCAAACCGACAAAGCTAGGAATACAACGTACAACTTCTATTCGATAAAAGAAAGTTTGAAATTTGTTGAATCGTCTCGCTATCAATGCCGAGCAAGTAAAAGCTAAAACTGCAAGTTACACGTTGAATCGCGCTAAGCCTACTGCGTCGAAAATGACTCAACCATCGGATCGCGAAAGTTAGGTTACGATCGCAGCGGATACGTGTTATCTAACGAATGGTCGTTACGACGAACGAAATATGCGAAGAAATGCGTGCACTCGTAGGAATTTATATAGTATGTATATATCGATTACTTGGACGTATCGAGTTCATCGGAACGTTTACTGTCAGGACACGCATCCGCTGTAATCATAACCGCTTAGCCGTTTAAGCTTCACGAAATAGTCCCGGCGTGCAGCATATCGTCCCATTTCGTACGTTGACGAGACTGTCTCGCTTCTTAAGCGCTTATCGTTTATTCGTGAAATATCGAAGCCGTCCGTTTCTCCTCTCCAAAAATATCGCTATTTTCCGACGAAATTTCGTAAGAGAAAATCTAAAGCCAAAGAAATTAGCGAAAAAGCTAAAACAATCAACGTACGTCGGAGATTCGAGACGGAAGATACAAGTGCGAGGCAGGCAGCGCGCGC